TTTGTGAATTGTATTTAACACACAGATATTCAATTAGACCATGAATTTAAGGTAAAGTGGAACTACGAGACGTTCTTCAAGAGACCACATTTACAGTTCAGAACAGGCTCAACTCAGAATTGCCCTTCATTTATACTAGGAACTAAACAAAAGAAGCTTCATGAATGTAGAATTAGTGGGTGTCATCTCTGTGTTACTTGGTTTCCTAGACTTTGGGGCCCACTGGTAATTGGCATTAGCAAAGACCACAGCCGAAGCAGTGGCTTAAACATTGTTGTGTGCACACTCCCCTCTCGTGCTAAATAAAAGAACTATTCACAATTACACTGAATGCATGTAAAGAATGTAGGCCAAAGAAAGTGATGGATTATTTACCTTTGGGAAAACTTCAACATGCAGAGTATAAACATAATCCTTTCCCCTAGAAGATGCCTACTTTCAACAATGCAGGTAAGCAAACAACAGGGCCTAATTGTTTTCTACACTTTTGACTCCAATATGTTACAACCCAAGATACTGAAGTAACTTGCAAATAAGATAGTAAAATGTCTATCACTGAACACTAGAGATTAAGAAATGTCTCATTTTACAAGAACAAACAAACAAACAAACACAACAGAAGAAAATAAGAAACATGAATTAAAACTTTCCAGCTTTGTATTGATCCTTGTTAAGGGTGTAAAACCAGCCATCAGTGGGGGTTTCTGAGCATTGTAAAGGAGGTGGTCACAAGAAGCCAACTGATTTCAATAAAAGGAATTCATGGTGTCCTCTCATTTCTTTTTCTTTTAGGGTTATAAGAGCAGTTTCTTTTCTTTGGGAAAAGCATCCCCATAAAAATCAAACGTTAATGCTAATTAAGTAAAGAAAACTAAAGGTGATGGTTCTTTGACAGGATATAGAAGTTTGGAATTAGTAAGAGTAAAAAGATAAATTTGATGATATTTGATGACATAAACAAGTTCACCATGTGCTCTAGACAAAAAAATAAAATAAAAAAAAAGAATGATCCTTGATTAGAGATAGTATTTGATACAGTGATATTTGTAAATTTGATTTTTACAAGTCTCAAAACATACTATTATCCAGAACATTAATTATAAATTTAATTTTTCATAGAATCAAAATTTTTAGATCTAAAGTTTTTCTGAATTGGTTTCATTATACAACCAACAGTCTTCAAATTTAGAAAATGTTCCATCTTTATTTGCAGAAAAGGCAAATGAGACCCATGCATTTTAAATGGAAATTAATAAATAAAAGGTGGAACTTAAAAGTCCAGATCGCATACAGATCTATGTGCCACAATGCTAAATATCTAAACATTAGACTTTATTTCTATTTCCATTATGCTTTCTCATGCACTAACTTCAACTGTTTATCTGTCTGCCCCTTACTAAGCTACCTAACAAGGTAAAAATAATGCATAAATTGCAAATTTAAAATTTAGGTAAATATTGCAAATAATAATGATTGGAGGGGGAAAAAAGGAAACATATTAGAATTTGTATATCAATTGCAGAGCCAAAGCTTTAAGATCTTTAAAAATCTCTATAAATTTTTATGCAGTGAATATCTCAGATTTGATTTAAATTTCTGAAATGAAGAAATCATATATATAATATGCCCCTATCTCTATCTTTAGTCATTCTCTATTCACTTACTCTGATGTTTCTTCTCCTCAGCATTTATGATTTTCCAAAATTATACTATTTGTACATTTATTTATTTATTATCTGTTTTCCCATTTGAATATAATTTTGTCTGATTTGTTCACATCTAACAACTATGCAGTATCTGAAGCATAGTAATATTTCAATAATCATTTGCTCAAAGAATCAATTAATTTAAAATATCAAAACAAAAATATATCAAAACATGCACATATAATATGTGATACATATATTTGTTAGGTGAACTGCATTAATTTAACATAGATGCATATTTGCTAAAATCCTAACTAAATATTTTTTAGTATTTCTATTTTCCCTAAGAAGAATTTCTCTATTTTTTTTAAATATTTGACTTTGTGTCTCTAGTCAACCATTCTCTGACTTGCAAGCTCTCTCTGTTTTCTAGAACACCAATAGAGAACCTTACATCTCAAGGTGATAAAATGATGGCCTAGGTAATGTCTGAATATATCAACATTTCTCATGATAATCCTAGAAAAAGCATGCATATTGTTAATAAGTAAACTTGGAAGCAAATATTTATTTAAATATACATCCTGATCATCTTACTGAGGTCCATACGTTAAATTTTAGGACAGTGTGGCTAATTTAGAAAAAAGAGAAACCTTAGCCTTTTAACATGACTAGACCTATAAAAGAAAGTACGATTTGGTGAGAAAACGGGGGCAAATGTAGAGATTTGATGGAAAGAAAACAAATGTAAGTACAAAGACTAAATTGAAGTTCAATAGATTATTGATACAAGAGTAGAATTTAATTTAAAAAATAAAATAAAACCTTAGTAACTTCTTCAGATACTTCCACAGAAGCAAAATGCTCACTTTAGTGTTTGTCTAGTCACTATATATATCATTATCATTTCCAATTAGGTCCACATTAAACATCAAGTCAAACTCATTTTCTGAAAACTAGTTCCAGATTATGGCAGATGTTTGGGGTTGCATATTTTAAAAATAAACTACAAAATACAATAGTAGCCATCTGGTTCAGAATTTTCTGTTTATTGTTTTCTATGGAGTAATGGGCAAAAAATAGAAACAAATAAAAGAAAACAGCTGTCACGGAAAACTTTGAAAGGCCAAAAAATTGTGCTCTTAAACTAGTATTGAAATTAACAGATTGGTCAATTTAAATAACCAGATTTGTTTTTAAAAAATGGTCTTGAATTTTTCAATTAAATTGTCCAGTTACATTGGCATCACTTTGTCTTAAGCCATTAATAGCTGAAGAACATTATAAAATCTTAACATTTATACAAACTGAATATGGCTTCCCACTGACATATATATAATGTACTGACATATATAATGAAGATTTTATTTAAACTTCCATTTAAAATGGCAGTGGGTTGGCAGCTCCATGGATTGACCTCTCACAACTTTACATTTCAAATGTGTTCATATTGACAGAAATGAAATTGCTGGAATTTTGAAGTAATTTCTACAAACAATAAGATTGATTTGACTGGATGGAGAAAAAAAATATTTTCCTATCCAAAAGAGCACAGGAAGAAAATATTTTCTCTTCCACTATATTTCTATGGATTTATAACTGAAAGGAATGTACCTTTGATTCCAGACTATTCCTACTTCCACTCCTGTCATATAAAACCTGCTCTTTAAAATTCATGCAATTTTATTACACTCTCCACTCCATTCTTCTTACCGTCATCAAATGAAATGAAGGTCTTTGTCATCTGGCTCAGTTTTCCCTCCATGTTAAATCCTCTCATCTGCCTGAAAAACTTTGCCATTCCAACAAACCCAGCCCTTCAGTTTCCTGGCCTACTGGTTCCATGTAACCTTCTCTTCCACTTCCAACTAGGATACCCGCAACCAGACTGGTAGCCAGTCCTTGCCACAATCCACAATTGCTTCATCTTCAAAAATATTCAATCAAGTATCCTGCTTTCTCCCCACAACTGCTTCTCCTTCCGCCTCTCCTGTTCAACCTCTTCCCTCAAGCAGTGCTTTGGCTTCGTTAGACTACCAGCCCATTAACGTATCTACCACAGCTCTTCCAATACATAAGTAATCTCCTTTCTTCACTTTCCTATCATCCAAGTATAGCACTCCTTGCAAATTCCAATCATCAGGAACACCTGACTCCAAAACCTAAGATCTAGATTCCAAAAGTAAAACCAAATAACACACCTAACAAGAAAGTTTTATGGAAAGAGAAGAAAAAATGAAAGGTAAATCTTGCCCCTACTCAGGTCTATATTCTGCCCCTCCTTGTGGAGCATCTTCAAGATCCATCCCCACACATGTTTTTTATTTGTTTTTGTTCTGATTCCTCTGATAAATATGAGCCATAGCTTGCAGTGCATCACCTGAAGAGGTAGCAATTCCCTAGAAAGACCATGCTGATGCCGGGCCCTATTGGCTTAGAGGCAAAAAAAAAAAAGTGAAAGCAGTGAAAGATCCTGAGGAGAATAAACATCTTTTTTAAGAAATCTATTTCAGATAAGGTCTTTGCGTCCATGCAGTGGGACATTGCTGTCCTCTAGCAAGAGGGAGATGAGCTAGCCTCCCTCCTGGGGGATTCATGGGAATCTGTGGGTTTTTGGTTCTCAAGAGCGTCTACCCAAATATCTCCATTCCATGTGTTTGTCTTTAAGGAGACATAGACATAGGAGACTAGCTGGGCCTATGAATTCAATCTCTTATAACTCTACCAGTCTCATAATCAAACTTCAGGCCTAATTTTCAGTACAGGTGGCTCTCTTTAAATGCTGCTTGTTATAAGAAACATTGTCCCCCCACCTCATATCTTTTAAGTGCTAAAGCTATCACATAAGCCAGTGCCTCCTCTTTCTTCTGTATTCCATCCTTGTTCCCTAACTGCTACAACAATGTGAAAATTCATTCACATAGTAAGGTGTCCAAAGTGAATATATCAACACATTCTATATGTAAAAAAATAACCAATCAGAAGATCTAATGGGAAAAATATTGCATTTACAATACCAATAAAAGATTTTTTTAATGCTTAGTAAATAAATTACTGTTAAGTTCAGCTACATGCAACACAAAGCCCAAATAAATAGTGGCTTAGATACACAAGTGGTTAGTGTTTCATGTGAGAAGTCCAGTGGTCAGCGGTCCAAGACTAGAAGAGCTGTTCCACAGATCCCTAAGAGTCCTGGGCTCCTTCCTGGTTTCTGCTCTAGCCAGAATGTCCCATTCTCACCACAAGAAAGAGAAAAGAGAACATACCTTCTCCCTTGAACACTCCTCAAAGTTGCATATACCACTTCCACTTATATCCCTTTGTCCCAAACGATGGCTCAATGACTAGGCTTACCTGCAATGCGGGCTGTGAAATGAAGCCTTTATTCTGGGCAGACATGTTCTAGCTGAAATTCAGGGCTTTCACTGCAGAGAAAGAAGGGGAGGAATAATATTAGGGGACACCTAGGAATGTTTAAGAAAAAAAATATAAGATCTACAAAGAAGGATATTCATATTGCCTGAGAGATACAAAAGATCTGAACAAATGAAAAGGCACACCATGTTCTTGGGTAAACAACAAGAAAATTACCTTGATAATCCACAAATACGTTGTAATAGCCATGAATTTTAGTGCCTCAAATACTGTAACAAAAACATGTATAAAACAAGACTGTTAAATAGATGAGTAAATAACAGAAACACAGTTATAGTAACCTTTGGCAGAAAAAATAAATAAAAATAAGGTCATAATTATTTTTAACAATAGAATAAATAATATCCAGATGTCAGTTAAGGTCATCTTTCTGTCAAAAATAAAATTTGTAAACACCCCCATTACATGTCAGGCAAATGTTCAATAGCCCCCCCAACACTTCTGCGAATTCCCATGTCTTCCCTCTAGCCTTAGTCTTGCCCTCTGAACCGCATTAGATTCTTGCCTTCTGTTTCATTCTACCTTATCCACTGTGCATTAGCCCAGACATGGGACACAGATCCTTTTCTTCATTGATCTAACAACAGCTCACAAAGGCCATTTTTGTGTGTAGTCAACTTAAGTTAAAGCTTGGGGCAGTCAAGTAGGTAGAATTACAGCCCTGATAAGTAAACTACTTACATATACTAGGCAACCTGTTCCTAAAAGTCATTAGTGTTTGGCTATCCCACCACTGTGAATTTCACCAATATTTCTAGTAAATCTAGCTTCTTGCCTTGTTACATATCTCTGCTTCCTCCAGGAAAACTGTCCTAACGCTTCCCTGTTGCTCTGTTTTTAGGTCTACTTCATTTTGCCTCATCTCAGAAAAGAATTATTTCTCTCTCTCTCTCTCTTTCTCCCCCCAGAGATAGCTCCAACAAATAGCTGGGTAGAACATATCAGAAGGGTTACAATATCACCATAATTTCCATCAGACTCCGTAGAATCATACCTAATAAACAGTGATGCACAGCAGCCAGCTTGTACTGGCTCACAGACACAATTATGTGGACTTCTTTCCTACTCCTGATTCAGTGACTGAGTCCATAAGTAGGTTTAAATCCACATGGTGAAAGTATTTACACCTTGGAAGTTGGCAAACACTACAAATATCAGTGTTTTTGTTTTGGTTTAGGGAGGGGATTTGGGTATTTTTTTGTGTGGTTTTCTGTTGTTGTTATTTTGGATTTTTGTTTGTTTGTTTGCTTATTTGCAGGACAAGTTTATTAGCACCACACAGCATATACTCTAGAAAGCTCTGTGTTTAATCTGTAAATAAAGATTCAAGTTTTTTGACTCCCTCCCACAAGAACCGGCTTAACCCTCCAGGGCAGAAATAAGAGCAGGGCAAGGACACTAAGCAGCAAGATGATTCCTTTGCTTGGATTCCACACAGACCACAGGAATATGATGTTCTGTCTTATTCTAGTCCATGATTTTCTCCATGCAACAATATTGAGTAGAACTGTTCAGGCAATGTGAGTATGCAACTGTATAATTTATTAATTTAATTTGTTAAGTACACTAACCTTATTAGAGTTCAAACTTGAGGACAAAAATAAGCTATTGTACCATATTCTAAAGAGGTTCAGGGCATCAATATCTCTCGCAAGATCTAATGAAAAGTAGAAGAATCAGCCTACTACTGTCATCCAGGCCCCATCCCCACCACACCCCACCCCAACCACCTATACAAAGAGTTGACTGGAGGGAGAGAAGGACAGGTTGTTGAAGTCAGTGGGCTTGTAGTGTATGCAGTATTCATAGGAAAATGTACTTCCCCAGCCCTCAAGCCAAGATGGCAGGAGGCGATTTTCTCAGAGATTGTTAAATAGAATTTTTTTAGTTCCTCCAGAATGAGACAGGTGGCCTTGCACTGGGGGAATGGCTATCTGCTAAGACTTGATGACTTGTCCCTATGAATTAAAGAGAGATGATGACAGTAAAGCAGCCACGACAGCATTTGCTGTTCCAAGAGGACCAGGGGACACCAGAAAAGGAACTCATCTTGAGATCTTTTTGTGAATACCTCATCCAACAAGGCTACCCTCCAGACTAAGGGACTCCAGCATGGGGAGGCTATGGTATATACCACAGTGGATGGGAACTGAGTAGGAGAAATTAGAAGTGTTTGCAACAGAGAAGATGCCCCATGCTCAAGAAATCAGCCACAGGAAGATCTCACAGGATGGTGCAAAGAACTCACACATGCCCATCCATGAGAGATCAATTCTTTCAATGCCTTTCATATAGAAAGCCTCACCACCATTTACTTGCACAGTAATTTAGCTTTCTAAAAGTCCAAAGATTATATGCTCTGATAAGCAAATGACCCAACAGTTTGAGTTAAATATAGAAGAATTAATAGAAGCCTTGAAAGTTCAATCTTTCCTTTCTCCTCCCATTATAATCTCTTTCCCAATAAAATATATACATCATTCTTGGCTTCTCTCAGAAAGTAAAAGCTGTTACAATTGTTTTGTTTTAAATAAAATTCCCCTTCCCAATAATTAGTCATACTGGAGTATGCAAATGTAGAGACAAGAAACCAAATTAACTCTATAAACATACCTGAGGCTGAGGAATTGTACCAATACTCTCTCTCTCTAAATATATATATATATATATATATTTTTTTTTTTTTTTTAATATTTGACTTTGTATCTCTAGGCCAGGTATGTGCTCTCCCTGCCAACCTCATTGGCCCACTTCCTAATGAATTATATTTGGCTGTTCAGCACATTCATATCACTTACCTGATTTTTAAAGGTGTTTGAATTTACCCGAAACAAATGTTGAATATATGGATGCATGTATGAATGTTTCCCACTAAGAGTGAATATGCCTTCTTTTCAAGCATCCATAAAACATTTGCAAATATTGTTTCAAGAATGGGCAAACAAATCAACAGAATATTAAAGACTATCTTAAAACCAATAAAATAAAAAAGATCATAATAGATGGAAAAGAAGCATTGTAAACTAATGTATATAGATGAATTACCCAAAGTTTTTGGGGAAATAATAGTTTTGAGGAACACATTAAGTTGGATCACAATTTTAAACTATCATCCATTAAAATAAATTTTATTTAAAAATAAAAGCAGAAAACAGATGGGAATAATGACTAACTGATCTCAGAATGGATAAATGCTTTCTAAATTTAGGAACAAATAGATCGTTAGGATATGTTGGTTAAATTTATCTACGTAAAATTTGAAGCTCTCTGAAGAGCAAAACCTCACAAGATTGTAAGACAATCCAAACTGAGAAAATTGTTTATATCAACAATGACACATTTAATAATACTTACTATATTAAAATAATGACAACAGTAACAATATATGAAAACTCACTCAAACTCATAAAAAGGACACCAAAACTTTTATTGAAAATGGTCAAATAATATGAATATAAAAATTACATAAGGTGGCATATAAATGACTAATAAAATATGAAATAAATATTCAAGCTATTAAGAGAAATACCAATTAAAACAGAAAGAACCATTTTTTATGTTGTCTGAGTTGTCCTGTTTTAAAGATAACGCTGCCAAGAGTATGGTGAGAAGGATCTTACACATATATCTACCAAGAAGGAAAAACTGGTATAAACTCTTTGGAAGATAATTCAACAACATGAACAAAGATTAATAAATGTATTGCTGTTTAACCTAAAGGAAATAGTTACAGATGAGAATAAAGATTTATATTGAAGGAAGTTCATGACAGATTATACATAAAAGCAAATATTGGAAACAACACAATTTCCAATAATAGAATAATTAAATAATTTTTAATAATATTAAATAACATGGTAAATATTTTTTTGTTTGTTTTTTTTTTAAAGATTTTATTTATTTATTTGAGAGAGAGAATGAGATAGAGAGAGCATGAGAGGGAGGAGGGTCAGAGGGAGAAGCAGACTCCCTGCTGAGCAGGGAGCCCGATGCGGGACTCGATCCCGGGACTCCAGGATCATGACCTGAGCCGAAGGCAGTCGCTTAACCAACTAAGCCACCCAGGCGCCCATAACATGGTAAATGTTTTAAACATAGCATTAAGTATGAAAGTACATATGTCAACTTATAAAAATTCTAAAGCTTAAAAAAACACAAAGGAAACAAAATACTCATATTTAGATAATATAACTATAAAGTTTTATTTTCTTCTAAAAACTGTTCAGTAGTTTCTGAATTTGGCAATATATGTATATTATAAACATTTTATAAAGTATTGCTTAAGCACTGAGTATGTTTTTTCAATAGTTTCAAAATCTCTAATGAAAATACAGCTTTATATCACAGTGGGTTTGGTAATACTGTCACACCACAGAGTTCAAATCCAAAGCACCTATTACAAATCAAGAGTTAGAGACAGATAGAGAGACAAGGAATTTCCTCGCCCTGAAAAAGTGTCCAGTCTAATGAAGAAACAGACAAGAAAGTCAACTACTAGAACACAATATGCAAAGTGCTGTAACTGAGGCATTCACAGCAGTCTGTTGCAAGGTCAGTTGAAAACCAGTGAATTCAGCCTAGAGGAGGGTGTTGGAAAAACCTCCACAAAGAAGGTGACCTTTGATCTGAAGCATTCTTCTTCCTCACTCTTTTCTTCTTACAGTATATTAAAGACCAAGGAGATACAGTAAAGATAGAGAGCCTTCAAATTTGCCAACAAGGTCACATTATGAGGGGTTCTTAAAATCAGCTGGTGAAAGGGTTATTTATTTTGACTATCTTAAATCTGAAAAATCTAAGGCCTCTTCCTACTAGAGGAGGAAAATATCCCCTTGATGGAAAAAGAAATTGGGGATATTGAGGACTTTGCTGCATCTAGGAAGTGGGACTGGGATCCCACACAGAGCAGGGTGTGGCAAAGAGAGATACTCCTCTTCGAGAAAGGACAGGCTGCTCAGCTGCAAGCTATGGAGTGGGTGACTGACAGCCT